ATGTACTATGTGTGAATGATATCCCAGACGCCTTGTATAATATGAATGTGTTGGACTGCGGTTGACTATTCGTATTGTACGGCGGATTGTTGACGTGTCCGGATAGGTCCGGGGCGTGACATCACTGCCGGCCCAAATCGCCGCCGCAGGAAGATGCTGGACCGCCCTCGGGACTGCCCAAATCACCACCACGGTCCGCCGCCGCCTATGGTCCATCATCACCCCCGATATGCCACCTCCGCACCGGACCTAGGTCCCTCCAGCCTCTCCGGATGTGCAAGATCTGCAGCCCGACGTAGCTCGCCCCAGCACCGCACCGGCCGCGGCCGTATTCCTATCCTGGAACTTGCGCCTCCATGGCGCCGGTCGCCGCCGCATCCCGCCTATCTCCGTTGCGTTACGATGCTGTCCGCCCTGAGCCGGCCCCAGACCTGCGCGGCTGCGCCTTTCGAAGTGCCTTCATCCCTTCACGCGGCTGCGCCGGCAGTGCCTTCCTCCCTTCACATTAATGTTTGCGATGTTGCTGCTAGGGCTAAGGGATGACGGACGAAATTAAACATTTAAAATGGGATGATCTACCCATATGGAAAGCAGGCCCAAAACCAACCTCAAAGCGGACCGAGCCTGGAAAATAAATCTCACTCAACCCCAAATGGGTTTGGTATTTTCTAATCTTCATTTTTTTAATACCGCATAAAAAATAATAAAAATATAATTATATATAAATATAATAATTTATAAATAAAATAAATCCGGGGACAAATCCTCAGTCGTAGGCGTCCCCCGGTACTCGGACCACGCGTCTATAAACAAAAACCCAAAGGTGCAAGCCAAATCGTCCCATCAAGGACGACCAGTTTAAATACCGGGGAAGCATAATATTTGGTACCTAGACATCACGTCTAAAAAACCCAAGAGCGCACACCGACGCACGTCCCTACGGGGCGACCGACTTAGGCCAAGACAGCGTAAATCTTGGTACCTAAGGCCGAGCCCAGAAAAACCTCCCAAACGGGAGAAGCGGCGTGAATGCCGAGGGCAGCCCTTGGGGGATATTGGGTGACACCCAAAGGGAATAAATGGCCACGCGAGGGAATACTCCCCCGTTGCTCGACGCACACCTAGTGTCCTAGGTCCCATCCAAGGATGGGTAGCTTCAAGTTTGACTTGAAATACATTGAGTAAAGGCTGGACGAGCCGCTCACCACAGAAAAAATAAATATAAAAAATTATTTAAAAAAATTATTATAAAAAAGCCGGGGGACGGGCAACGGAATGTGGCCGACCCCGTCATTTAAAAAAGGCATCTCTGATTTATACCTTACTCCCATCGGCCATTTTTCCCAAACCGATGGTCCACTTTCCCGAACGGAAGTTGCGGAGGGCTGCTAGGGGCTGTGACGCCCCAAGGGCGGCGTCCAAAGCGGCTAAGGGAAGGAAAGAGGTCCTCGAGACATAGCTAGAGCAACACCACACCAAAGCTTGCCCAAGGGGATACGACGGTTGCACAAGCCGAGGACGAGGGCCCCATACACGCATCGGTCAAAGACTTGTGTCACCCGGGAAATCGACTTATCATTTTCACCACCCGGTGTAGCGACCCCTGGCCTTTCCAAGGGGTATCTTTTTCCATTCTCGATCCTGACAAGGGCATCATTCTCCCTAATCCGGATGTGGATATCCTTTTTCATTTCGCTCCGGACAGGGGCATCATTCGCCTTGATCCGGACAAATGTATCTTTCTCATTCTCGATCCGGAAGAGGGCGTCACTCGCGTCAATTCGGAAAAGGATATCTTTTTCACACTCATTCTGGACGAGGGCATCATTCTCCTTGATCCAGATAGAGATACCTTTTTTCATCTCGCTCTAGACGAGGGTATCATTCGCTCCGATCTGGGGGCGTACATTTCTAGTTCGGTTCAAACGACGGTATTTTTCTCCTCGGTCTAAACAGTGATATCGTTTATCACATCGACGAGGGCAGGGGCACCATTTGCCTCGGTCCTAACGACATCACTGTTATTATTCGAGCGGCTCTCGCCCTCGTCTCATCATCGGATCGGCTCCCAGCGCCGAGTCCCCTTATGCGCGGCCAAGCGCTGACGCCTATTATTGTGCGAGCGGCTCTTGCCCTCGTCCCATCATCGGATCGGCTCCCAGCGCCGAGTCCTCTTATGAGCGGCCCAGCGTCGACGCCCATTATTATTCGAGCGGCTCTCGCCCTCGTCTTATCATCGGATTGGCTCCCAGCGCCGAGTCCTCTTATTTGCGACCCAGTGTCGACGCCTATTATTGCACGAGCGGTTCTCGCCCTCGTCTCATCATCGGATCGGCTCCCAGCGCCGAGTCCTCTTATGCGCGGCCTAGTGTCGACGCCTATTATTGCACGAGCGGCTCACCCCCTCGTCTCATCATCGGATCGGCTCCCAGCGCCGAGTCCTCTGATGCGCGGCCCAGCGCCGACGCCTATTATTGCACGAGCCGCTCTCGCCCTCGTCTCATCATCGGATCGACTCCCAGCGCCGAGTCCTCTTATGCGCGGCTGTTGGTCCCGATTAAATAGTAATCAGTCTAGAGGGGGGGGGGTGAATAGACTGATTGGGTTTGCAAATTTTTCTCTAAGTCCAAACTGACTTATCAGAGAAGGTCTTACTCTGGTAACACAGGAAGGCTGGTTCTGATATCAGAACTGGCCTTGGCAGCGGATTCTGATCTGTCCGGGTAGCCTCAGAAACACTAAGGCAGATGCCTTTCTGATAACTCTGAAAACAAGATCTGCTGAACACAGATTCCAAGTCTTAGAGTTAATCAGTTAATGTACTAAGTGCAGAAATATAAGTTGCAGTAAAGTAAACGACACCGGATATTTTTATAGTGGTTCAAGGAACAACGCGTTCCTCTAGTCCACTGTTCCACTAGCTTTGAAGTAGATCGGTTACAAAGCTTAAGTCCTAGCACTTAAGAAGTTCTCCACGCCTTCTTCAAGCCTAGCTGCCACCCAGGATGCAATTCCACGTCCTGATGGCTGGTCCTTTCACTCAACTTCCCGGAAGTATCACCACTTCACTACTGCAGTTACTTGGACGCCCTTCTTTTCAGAAGATCCTTTGAAAAACAAAGTTTTTCCTCCAACTTGCTTCGTTACAAAAGATGTTTAATGAAGTTCTTGAAGAGTTGAAGAACAGGATGAACTTTGCTCTTGTTGGGGGTGAAAGATTGTGAGGTTGTATCTTCCCAACGTAAGCTTTTTCTTGTTTTTGTGTTGTAGATTTTTAATCTCAAGAATGCTTGTTGTATGAAGTTCAGAGCAAAAAGTTGTAGCAAAGCTGTTTTCCTATTCTTCGGTGAGTAGCTTATATACTTGGGTTGTCTGCCCGTTGGAGGAGGAGACAACTGCATTAAATGCGCGTACTGTGGATTTGACCAGTTGGACCCGCAGTTTTGGCAGGTTTCCATTTTTGTATAATATTCTCCAGGATTCTCGGTCAATCATCTGCAATTACTCCACAGCGTATCAGTCTCATTAAATGAGCATTGAATGCTTTCTTTGGATGAAATATCTCCTAGCCGTTAAAGGATTTCCCGGCCGTTGAGGACAGCTTCGAAATCTTCCAAGTGTAAAGCGGAGTCTGATGAGCTTCTCTGATGACATTCTGATCTTGGATTCTGATGGACTTATATGAGGAACTCTGATACTTCTCTGGAGTTGGATTCTGATGAAGCTTTTTCATCGAACTCTGATGTCTTTTTGATGTAGACTTCTGACGAGTCTCCGAGGAGCATTACTGATGGTTCTCTGATGCGCAACTCTCATGATTTCCGAGAGCGACTCTGAAACCAGTTCTCATATAGCAGCTCTGATCAGATCCACATAGCAACTCTGAAAGTCGATTATACTTACAACTGAAAATTCTAATACATAAAATCTAATTAGGGGTACTCTATAATTCTAATCTAAATATCCTAGCATCATCAAAATCTAATTACATTTATTCCTTACAATTTCCCCCTTTTTGATGATGCCAAAACCCTTAAACTATTTCCAGAGAAGTGTCTTTCACCATGAGGAAAAATAAGTTAAGAGTAAACTTTTCATTTAAAAGCTTGGTGGGCACTTGGCATAGGAAAATAGTAAGAGTAAGATACAATCAATCAGATAAGTAAGATAAAAAAAACAAGATATCAGAGCATAAATAATCAGAATGCAAGTAGAAATGATTTGAAATTGCCATGCAAATAGAGGCAAGCCGGTTATCTTATTAATAAAGGATATTTAAAGCAACAAGAGGATAGAGTTTATATATGTGACACCGCACCCGAACGTCCTTGAAAATTCGATTTAAAAATTTAACATTTATGTATTGAATTTCCGATTGCCAAACAATTGTAAAACGATTAATGTTTTACGTAGTGCATGACTGAATATCGTACTGTTCAAACTCGTTTGGTAGTGTCGGGTTTGCAAACACTTTTCGGGACTTATTAATAAATAAAAGAGCTCAACATTTTCTAAATAAGTGATCGAATGATTAAAGAAGAATACCAATGCCTACAACCCTATCTTTGGCATTTTTGAGCTAAATAATGGGAGTAGGATTTTCCTTCTATAATATCCATCAAGTAAATTATTGGGATGAGCCTACACATATTGGAGATCAATAATGTGATTTAGGAAGTTGACTTGTTCTAAATAAATTAGGATGAGTACAAGAAGACATCTTTTGACAAAGATAAAACAATAGGACCCATTTTCCTCATTTTTGGAAGTATTGGTAGATAATTTGGATCCCAAAATGATTGGAATCAATTGGGAACCACTCCACATGATATTAGTACCTGCAAGACAAATAAAAATGGGTTAGGAGACTTACCTTGGCCGGCCATTATGGAGAAGAGCTGCACATGACTTGATAAGAATCAAAGTTTGGGCCACCACTCTTATTTTCGCACAAATTGGTGTGCTGTTTGTCTCCTCTCATTATAGGAGCTATCCTCAACCAAATAACGTGTATGAGGTGTCCTTGGATAGCTCTTGAAGTGTAGTTTCATAATTGAGTGGTCTTTGTTCGAGGAGAGAGAGCTTATCTTACAAAAATCGATCTGGAACGAGCAGTGGTCTGTGAACTCGAGCTGTGAGAGTGCTGAGACTGTTTGGTTGATATCTCGAGTTTTACCAATCCAATTAAGGCGTGTGAGATACCAAAAGAAAGCTCTCAAGACGAGGAATCCGTGAAGGTCTGTTTTGCATCAATCGGAGTAGAGGAAGGCTTCCAAATCGTCCGAGCAGAACGCGACCTCGCAGGGACGGATTTACTCTTCTAAGTGAGTTTTTAATCCCAAAACCTTTCCATTCATTTTCCAAATGATATGAACGATTGGTGGGACTATTATACACTACTCCAAGTGTATAAAACATCCCTATTAAGTTATTTTATTGATGTAAAGGTTAGATACTAACCTAGATGCAAATATTGGAAAACTAGGAATCGAGTTAGCCGGAAAACACCCGTTCTAGGGGCTGTTTTCGTATCAACGATTAGGGGTTGAAATAGCAACTTGAGGAGGCTGTTTAGCACCCATTTCTAATCAAGGAATCAGTTCTCAAGCTTCCTTGGCCGAGGCTTTAGCCATTGGATCGAGAAGGAAGGTTTTAAAGCTCATTTGAGGTGAGGATTGACATCTAGTTGCTTACAACTTGTAGGTTAAGCATGAGATTACCTAAATGCCTAAATAATGTTTTCCATGGATTATGATGATAAATTATTGATGGAATATTGATCTATTTTTCCAAAGAATGAAATGGGAAATGATTTGGTAAAGTATTGATGAAAATGGAGTTAAATGAACTATTGTGTGAAATAGACATTTTACTCATGTGTGAATTGTGTAGATACATAAATGATTATTTATGTATTACATTGAATGATTAAGTTGTTGCTACATATCTCTAAATATGTAGGGTTTTACAAATGGAATATATGATGGATAAGAATAATCTTAATAGTATTGAAATACTAGTTAATGATTGTTGTAATTGTTGAAGAATTGAATCTAAGGATTTGATTGTAATTGATGAACTTGATTGTGATGCAAGTGACTAAATTGATGTAATGTGATGCTAAGACCATGGTTGGGCAGTCCGTAAGGATGTCCCAAAATAGATTATTGATATTACAATCCTAGGCATAGCGAATGCTTAGGGATTGGGGTCTATGCCAATGTAAGGAGATGTACTTGAGCCGCGCTCATAGAATTGCATTGGGTAGACATGATGGGGTGATTGTGGTGCATGGTGATGTAGTTGAGTTGGACTCAAGAAATGCACGGTGGAGTAGTTAACTTGTGTTAAATAAGGTGCATGGTGATGTAGTCGAGTTGGACTCGAGAATGCAAATATATGTGTTAGGGTTGAACCCTATATATTGTTGTGACTAGGGGTCACGGGGTTTGGGCTATGTTTGATAAACAAACCTTGGGCCTACGGGCCGACTACTTGACTTTATATATAAAGTAAGTATATTTTAAAAACGGGATAACTTGGGGTTACGGCCTAGATTATATTATCACCCTATTTGAGGGTCTTGTGTTTGAAATACTTGTTGTATATCTATTAGATGCCATCCACACCAGCACTTTATAGCCCTATAGAGTGCTGACCCCCTTCGGGGGCGTCCCACCACCATTTTTCAGGTTGAGGCTAGAGCTTGCTTCCCGTGCTCGTTGCTCGAGAGATCATCTAGGAGGAAAGACTTGGTTCGTGCTTCCTCCATTCGGTTTTTAAACATTAACAAACATGCTCATGAATATTTTACTATAGAGCCTGCGTGCTCATGTTAGCCACGTGTGGCATTTGTTTTCAAACTATGTTTTCCGCTACGTATTCGATTGCTTATTATGTTGTTTATGGATGGCTTGCGTGTGAGTGATATTCTAGACGCCTTGTATAATATGAACGTGTTGGACTGCGGTTGACTATTCATATTGTACGGCGGGTTGTTGACGTGTCCGGGGAGGTCCGGGGCGTGACAATTAAGTTGGTATCAGAGCCTTAGTCCATAAACTTCATAATGAAGTCTCAAAATTCTCTTTTTGAAAAGATTTTGAAAACCATGAGCATAGAGGTTTTGTACTTGGAGAGCTTTTGGTACTTGGGTTGCAAGGTCTCTAATTGTTAAGATGGTACCCTTAGCAATTGGTATGGCAGTGACTCGAGCCAAAATGTGTCTTAAGTACCTATCCGTCAATTGACATTTGATACGAGTCTAACGACTCTTTCCCAATTTCTTTCAGAAATGGACCGTGGTGGCAGGATTACTAGGAGAAACCCGACCGGCCGTGTACCAGAGGAGACTGGACAGGGCAGTCGAAGGACCTCTAGGGCATCTAGAGGAGCTGGCCGTGGAGGCCGATCACAGACCGTGAGTGACGGTCATGTCGACACAGAAAGTGAAACCTACTGGTCCTATGAGGACTCGACTTACCAACCGGAAACCGAGCCGGTTGAGACCCCTTACGAAGGGGATGACGATGATGTGAGCGATGAAGAGGGGGAGAATGACTCCCTAGCAAGAATAGAGGCGTTGCTCCAACAATATCAACGGGAGCGCGAGGAAAGGAGGGAACGCCGAAGGCGCCGGGGAGGGCGAATTTCGGGTGAGGCTTCAAGAGGAAGAAGCCATGGCGATTCTCGGGCCCACATTGAACCACATGGGGGCCGGGGTGATGGAGGTCCAATCATAAGGATCTCAAAATTTCTTAAGGAGGCTAGGGACTTGGGGTGCAAACCCTTCAACGGAGCAGGCGACATCTCGGTCGCCGCGGAATGGATCAAGAGGTTGAACGAGGCAGCCCTTGATATGCAACTCACCCCCGAATTTAAACTAAGGGTGGCGGTGAGATTGCTTGAAGGGATGGCATCCACATGGTGGGATGGAGCCAAGGGAAAGTATGGCAATACCGTGACTTGGGAGAATTTCCGACAGGAGTTCTTTGCCCAATATTATTCCGATTTTGAGGTGAACGCTAAAAGGAGAGAGTATACCCTCCTGACCCAAGGTGGCAAGATGACGGTGAGGCAACTTGAACATAAATTCAGGGAGCTCGCGGAGTTCATACCGGAGTATGTCTGTGACGAGAACCGGATGGTAAATCACTTCTGGGATGCCTTAGACCTGGAGGTGCGTGAGAGGGCAACACAGTTGCCTAACATGACCTTTAGCCAAGTGGTCGAGCAAGGGTTGAAAGGAGAGAAAGAATGGGAAGAGAGAAAGTTGAAAAACGCCGAAGAGGTGAAGAAGAGAAAGTGGGAGAACCATGGACCTCAAGGACCTAGCAAAAAGGGGAACCATGGGGGAGGGGGATCTTTTCGGACACCCCCACTGCCATCTAGGGGGAGTCAAGGCCCGGGCGGGCAATCACAAGCCTCGGGGGTGACTCGTTGCAAGAATTGCAAGAGAAACCACCCGGGGAAATGTCGTGACCCTCCTAGATGCTACCAATGCGGAAACACCGGGCACTTGAAGATGAATTGCCCACAATTGGGTGGGGCAAGGTCATCGGGACCAAGTAGTGGTAATACCGGGACACGGAATCAAGCCGGGACTTCACAAGCGTCCAGGGGGCAAGGGGGAGCAAGCGCAAGCAATGCGCCGTCCGTGAATCAAGGAAGGACTCAAGCTAGAGTCTACGCGATGACGGAGGCGGATGCTCAAGCTAACCCGGATTCCGTTGCAGGTATTGCCTCTCGTATGCTAGTGTTTCATCCTTAATTAGTCCATAAATTGAGGTTACTAATCGCTAGGATCATTGCACAAGGTTTTGGGGTCAAACCGGGGGATTTCGGGCAACTTCAGGCGGCTGGAACCCAGGCACGATCGTGCCTAAGGCGGACACGATCGTGCCTCCAAGTCAGTAGCTGCCCAGGAATTTTCCCAGCCCAGGCACGATCGTGCCTAAGGCAGACACGATCGTGCCTACAAGGCAGTAGCTCCCCAGGTGTTTCCCCAAACCAGGCACGATCGTGCCTAAGGCAGACACGATCGTGCCTCCAAGGCAGTAGCCCCCAGGGCTTTTTCCGGAGCCAGGCACGATCGTGCCTACCCCAGGCACGCCGTGCCTGGCACCCAGATTGCCGAAGTGCGATTTTTTCGCACCGTTTTGCGACGTTAAGACTTTTTCTTGATCCTTAACGTGCGTGTGAACATTGTAACCTTCTATAAATGAGTAGGGAGGGTAGGAAAGATGTCTTACACGGTTCATGAATGTAGGAACACTAAAGATTAATGGGAAGGATGCGCGAATCCTTATCGATACCGGGGCGCAACGTTCATTTGTGAATGAAACGTTCGCCAAGAGATTGGGAGTGCAATCCGCACCATTGATGCAAACCTTAGTGGTATCAACACCACTAGGGGACGACGTGGAAAGAACTTGTTACTATCCATCTTGTGGGGTGGAGGTTAATGGTCAAACCTTGACGTGTGACTTCGTACCGCTGAGCATGATTGAATTCGATGCAATCCTAGGGATGGATTGGCTAGAAAGGAACCATGCTAGGGTAGATTGCTACACGAAGGTTCTTGAACTCGAAGGCAATGATGGGGAGACCCTACGCTTCGAGGGCGATCGAGGGAGATCAAATAGCTGTATCATATCCGCCGTGAGAGCGAGAAGTATGATGAGAAAGGGATGCCACGCATATCTAGCATACGTGGTTGACAAAACCAAAGAAGAAACGAACATCGACGATGTGAGGGTGGTTTGTAAGTATCCGGATGTCTTCTCTAAAGACCTACCGGGGCTTCCACCTGACAGAGAGATTGAATTTGTGATCGAGGTCGAGCCTGGTACCAAACCAATCTCCATACCGCCATACCGGATGGCACCCGCTGAACTTAACGAGTTGAAAACCCAATTGCAAGAGCTTTTGGATAACGGTTTCATTAGACCAAGCCACTCCCCGTGGGGAGCACCGGTTCTTTTTGTGAAAAAGAAAGATGGGACACTTCGAATGTGCATTGACTATCGTCAACTGAACAAGGTCACAATCAAGAATAGGTATCCGTTGCCTAGGATTGATGACTTGTTTGATCAACTACGAGGAGCAACCGTGTTTTCGAAGATTGACTTAAGGTCGGGGTACCATCAATTGAAGATTAAGGAAGATGACATACCAAAGAGTGCTTTCCGCACAAGGTATGGGCATTTTGAGTTCCTTGTTATGTCGTTTGGGTTAACAAACGCCCCGGCAGCATTCATGGACTTGATGAACCGAGTATTTCATAAATACTTGGATCGATTCGTGATTGTGTTCATAGATGACATCTTGATTTACTCAAAGAGTGAAGAAGAGCATGAGGAGCACTTGATACTTGTTCTTGAAACACTACGGGAGAAGCAACTCTATGCCAAATTTTCTAAATGTGAATTTTGGCTAAAGGAGATTGGCTTCCTCGGGCACGTGGTTTCGGGATCGGGGATTGCTGTTGATAACAAGAAGATAGAAGCCATTACTGAATGGGAGAGGCCAAAGAACGTCAAGGAAATTCGTAGTTTCCTTGGATTGGCAGGCTACTATAGAAAGTTCGTGGAGAAGTTCTCTGTTGTGGCATCGCCATTGACGAAGCTCACTCGTAAAGGAGCTAAGTTTGTATGGGATGACAAATGTGAGAAAGGGTTCATGGAACTAAAGAAGAGATTGACTGAGGCACCGGTACTTGCATTACCCAAACAAGGTGTGGGGTACGATGTCTATAGCGATGCGAGCATCCAAGGGCTCGGATGTGTACTGATGCAGAATGGGAGGGTAATCGCCTATGCTTCACGACAATTGAAGAAGCATGAGGTGAATTATCCTACTCATGATTTGGAGCTCGGGGCAGTGGTATTTGCACTGAAGATATGGAGACATTATCTCTACGGGGAGACATGTCACATATACACTGATCACAAGAGCTTGAAATATGTGTTTACTCAGAAGGAGCTAAACATGAGACAGAGACGGTGGATGGAGTTGATAAAAGACTATCATCTAGTGATAGAGTATCACCCAGGCAAGGCAAACGTGGTGGCAGATGCCTTGAGCCGGAAGAGCTCGTCTGGGGCATTGCTAGCTAATTTGAGGGCATTAAGAGCCCAACTGGAGGTATCTAGCGATGGTGCCTTATTGGCACGATTTGAGGTGAGACCTACCTTACTTGATGAGATCAAGAAGGGTCAGGAAGCTGACGAAGAAATTATGAAGATCCGGGAACGCATGCAAGCGGGACCGGTGGAGGATTTCAGGGAAATAGATGATGGTCTCTTGTTATTTCGTGACCGAGTGTGTGTACCGTCAGATGATGAGCTCCGAAAGTCCATCTTAGAGGAGGCTCATTCATCGGCTTATGCCATGCACCCGGGGGGCACGAAAATGTACCGTGACTTGAAAGAAAGTTACTGGTGGTCTGGAATGAAGAGGGAAATAGCCGAATACATTAGTCGATGCCTTACTTGTCAACAAGTTAAGGCAGAACATCAGCATCCAGCAGGCTTGTTACAACCACTTTCCATTCCTGAGTGGAAGTGGGAACATGTGACTATGGATTTCGTGGTAGGTTTACCACGGACAATTCGGAACTACGATGCGGTTTGGGTGGTTGTGGATAGGCTCTGTAACACTTGAAATTTAATATAAATGGATTAATAGTACTACTCATACCAACAGAGGTGCATCTCCTTTTAAGGGAGCTCATCACCCAAGAACTCCAAAGTTAAGCGTGCTTGCACGGGAGTAGTCATGGGATGGGTGACCCCCTGGGAAGTTTCTCAGGGCGCGCATGAGTGAGGACAAAGTGCGCGGTAAAGGCTCGTGGTGGTTTGTGGGGACAGTACTATTGGTCCGGAGTAACTACCTCGGGTCCGGTGGGGCCGGGGTGTTACGGGTGGTATCAGAGCAACCCCGCGACAGTGTGATGACCCGTTGGATATCGGGCGGGCACTTAGCGGGGGAAGATTTCTGGGATTTGATTGAGATTTGACATTGGTTCAAGGGCGCAACGAGGACGTTGCGATCCTAAGTGGGGGTGATTGTAACACTTGAAATTTAATATAAATGGATTAATAGTACTACTCATACCAACAGAGGTGCATCTCCTTTTAAGGGAGCTCATCACCCAAGAACTCCAAAGTTAAGCGTGCTTGCACGGGAGTAGTCATGGGATGGGTGACCCCCTGGGAAGTTTCTCAGGGCGCGCATGAGTGAGGACAAAGTGCGCGGTAAAGGCTCGTGGTGGTTTGTGGGGACAGTACTATTGGGAACGAGGTTGAAGTTCAGTACTGCTTTCCACCCACAGACGGATGGGCAGTCTGAAAGAGTCATACAGATCTTAGAAGACATGCTGAGGGCTTGTGCGTTGGAGTTCCAAGGAAGTTGGGACAACCACTTAGCACTTGTGGAGTTCGCCTATAACAACAGTTATCAGGCAAGCATCGGCATGCCTCCATACGAGGCATTGTATGGGAGGAGGTGCCGTACACCGTTATGCTGGGACGAGGTTGGCATGGCCAAACTCGAGGGTACTGAGTTGGTTGAGCTCACCAAATCAAAGGTGAAATTGATTCGAGAGAGACTCAAAGCGGCTCAGGATAGGCAAAAGAGTTATGCAGATAAGCGTCGAAGAACCTTAGAGTTTAAGGTTGATGACGAGGTATTCTTGAAAGTTTCTCCTTGGAAAGGAATCATTCGATTTCAAACCCGAGGGAAGCTTAACCCACGGTACATAGGTCCATTCAGAATTATAGAGAGGATTGGGGCCGTTGCATATCGTCTACAGTTGACTCCTGAGTTAGAGAAGATACATAATGTGTTTCATGTATCCATGCTTAAGAAGTATGTGCATGATCCCTCTCACGTATTGGAGAAGCCACCTGTAGAGGTACGTGAGGATTTGAACTACGCTGTTCAACCTATCAAGGTCACCGATAGAAAGGTGAAGAAACTAAGGAGCAAGGAAGTCCCAATGGTTAAAGTCCTGTGGAAGAGCGATCGGGTCGAGGAAGAGACATGGGAAACAGAGGCTTTGATGAGGAAGCAGTATGCTTTCCTATTCGAGTAGAGCTGTGAATTTCGGGGACGAAATTCCTGTTAAGGGGGGGTGAACTTGTGACACCGCACCCGAACGTCCTTGAAAATTCGATTTAAAAATTTAACATTTATGTATTGAATTTCCGATTGCCAAACAATTGTAAAACGATTAATGTTTTACGTAGTGCATGACTGAATATCGTACTGTTCAAACTCGTTTGGTAGTGTCGGGTTTGCAAACACTTTTCGGGACTTATTAATAAATAAAAGAGCTCAACATTTTCTAAATAAGTGATCGAATGATTAAAGAAGAATACCAATGCCTACAACCCTATCTTTGGCATTTTTGAGCTAAATAATGGGAGTAGGATTTTCCTTCTATAATATCCATCAAGTAAATTATTGGGATGAGCCTACACATATTGGAGATCAATAATGTGATTTAGGAAGTTGACTTGTTCTAAATAAATTAGGATGAGTACAAGAAGACATCTTTTGACAAAGATAAAACAATAGGACCCATTTTCCCCATTTTTGGAAGTATTGGTAGATAATTTGGATCCCAAAATGATTGGGATCAATTGGGAACCACTCCACATGATATTAGTACCTGCAAGACAAATAAAAATGGGTTAGGAGACTTACCTTGGCCGGCCATTATGGAGAAGAGCTGCACATGACTTGATAAGAATCAAAGTTTGGGCCACCACTCTTATTTTCGCACAAATTGGTGTGCTGTTTGTCTCCTCTCATTATAGGAGCTATCCTCAACCAAATAACGTGTATGAGGTGTCCTTGGATAGCTCTTGAAGTGTAGTTTCATAATTGAGTGGTCTTTGTTCGAGGAGAGAGAGCTTATCTTACAAAAATCGATCTGGAACGAGCAGTGGTCTGTGAACTCGAGCTGTGAGAGTGCTGAGACTGTTTGGTTGATATCTCGAGTTTTACCAATCCAATTAAGGCGTGTGAGATACCAAAAGAAAGCTCTCAAGACGAGGAATCCGTGAAGGTCTGGTTTGCATCAATCGGAGTAGAGGAAGGCTTCCAAATCGTCCGAGCAGAACGCGACCTCGCAGGGACGGATTTACTCTTCTAAGTGAGTTTTTAATCCCAAAACCTTTCCATTCATTTTCCAAATGATATGAACGATTGGTGGGACTATTATACACTACTCCAAGTGTATAAAACATCCCTATTAAGTTATTTTATTGATGTAAAGGTTAGATACTAACCTAGATGCAAATATTGGAAAACTAGGAATCGAGTTAGCCGGAAAACACCCGTTCTAGGGGCTGTTTTCGTATCAACGATTAGGGGTTGAAATAGCAACTTGAGGAGGCTGTTTAGCACCCATTTCTAAGCAAGGAATCAGTTCTCAAGCTTCCTTGGCCGAGGCTTTAGCCATTGGATCGAGAAGGAAGGTTTTAAAGCTCATTTGAGGTGAGGATTGACATCTAGTTGCTTACAACTTGTAGGTTAAGCATGAGATTACCTAAATGCCTAAATAATGTTTTCCATGGATTATGATGATAAATTATTGATGGAATATTGATCTATTTTTCCAAAGAATGAAATGGGAAATGATTTGGTAAAGTATTGATGAAAATGGAGTTAAATGAACTATTGTGTGAAATAGACATTTTACTCATGTGTGAATTGTGTAGATACATAAATGATTATTTATGTATTACATTGAATGATTAAGTTGTTGCTACATATCTCTAAATATGTAGGGTTTTACAAATGGAATATATGATGGATAAGAATAATCTTAATAGTATTGAAATACTAGTTAATGATTGTTGTAATTGTTGAAGAATTGAATCTAAGGATTTGATTGTAATTGATGAACTTGATTGTGATGCAAGTGACTAAATTGATGTAATGTGATGCTAAGACCATGGTTGGGCAGTCCGTAAGGATGTCCCAAAATAGATTATTGATATTACAATCCTAGGCATAGCGAATGCTTAGGGATTGGGGTCTATGCCAATGTAAGGAGATGTACTTGAGCCGCGCTCATAGAATTGCATTGGGTAGACATGATGGGGTGATTGTGGTGCATGGTGATGTAGTTGAGTTGGACTCAAGAAATGCACGGTGGAGTAGTTAACTTGTGTTAAATAAGGTGCATGGTGATGTAGTCGAGTTGGACTCGAGAATGCAAATATATGTGTTAGGGTTGAACCCTATATATTGTTGTGACTAGGGGTCACGGGGTTTGGGCTATGTTTGATAAACAAACCTTGGGCCTACGGGCCGACTACTTGACTTTATATATAAAGTAAGTATATTTTAAAAACGGGGTAACTTGGGGTTACGGCCTAGATTATATTATCACCCTATTTGAGGGTCTTGTGTTTGAAATACTTGTTGTATATCTATTAGATGCCATCCACACCAGCACTTTATAGCCCTATAGAGTGCTGACCCCCTTCGGGGGCGTCCCACCACCATTTTTCAGGTTGAGGCTAGAGCTTGCTTCCCGTGCTCGTTGCTCGAGAGATCATCTAGGAGGAAAGACTTGGTTCGTGCTTCCTCCATTCGGTTTTTAAACATTAACAAACATGCTCATGAATATTTTACTATAGAGCCTGCGTGCTCATGTTAGCCACGTGTGGCATTTGTTTTCAAACTATGTTTTCCGCTACGTATTCGATTGCTTATTATGTTGTTTATGGATGGCTTGCGTGTGAGTGATATTCTAGACGCCTTGTATAATATGAACGTGTTGGACTGCGGTTGACTATTCATATTGTACGGCGGGTTGTTGACGTGTCCGGGGAGGTCCGGGGCGTGACAATATATCTTCCTCTTCTAGTTCAGCTTCCTTTGCTTCAATTTCCTTCAGAAGTGCATTTACCTTTGTTCTGATGGAGGCCAAGTCCCTTGGATTCTGACATTCTGACCAGGCAGGTTCAAGCTTGCAATCAAGATAATTTCTGATGGCTTCTGATAGGTCCTTGCCAGGGATCACTTTCATTCGCCACCAGTCTTCTGCTTCTTGCATTGAGCCACCATGGTTTATGATTATCAGCCCATCTTTATCCAGAATGAGATTCTCTTGTTGCAGAGGGGTCATATGTTTCTTCATTTCTCTGAACTGGGAGGCATCAGGTTTGGCTAAGTCACTGTTAAGCCATTGAGCCAGAGTAAATGAGGAAGATTTCTTCCCTTTCTTGGAGCGAGGAGGAGGGGGTCTCTGAATGCCTGCAGCTAGCCTCTTTTGTCTTGCTCTTTCAAAATACCCAGCAGGGTCAGCAACTCTGGTGCTGGTTCCTTCTGCAGCTCTGATGGCTCTGGCCGGTTCTCTGATTTCTTCCCCCTTTTTGGCATCAGCAAGATCACCAAGTAGGAGTTCAATCTTTGAGAATTCAGTGGCTTGATTTTCCTTAATAGCTTCAAGAGCACCTGGGAGTGTCTGAGTCACAGAGGCCAGACCTTCTATCAGCTCTTTCTGTTTGCCCACAGCTGATTGAATATCCTTGGTAGTAGCTTCTAGGAGAGTCAGCTTGTGATCTCTGTCCTTTCCACTGTTTATCAGCTTGATGTCAAATTCCTTCAAGGTTTTGCAGATGTCCTCTACATCTGTTAGTTGCTCAGCATGTTTATCAGAGGACCATTGAAGATCATCCATAGCATCAGACAGCTCCTGAATAGCCTTGTCTTGAGCAGAGAGGGTCAGAGATTGAGAGTAGAGGACAGTGTGTACACTGGCTACCTCTGATGCAATGTTGTCTACCTTTTCATTTGAAGTTTTCATGAAGCTCAGGAAGGTAGTTGCCAAGGTAGAAAGGGTTGTGGAGATCTTGGCAAGTTCTGACTCAATGTTGTACTGAACCAAGTCAATATGAGCATCATGCTTCTGATTCAATACAAGCATTTTGTTTAGTCCAGCAATCATCTGATCTCCAAAATCTTCAGCTGATTCCACAAATTCCTGGAAGGGGATGAGGACAGCTTTTGGAGGTGTTGGCTGTGGCAATTCATCGGCCTGAGGTTGTGGTTGAGGTTGTACAGGAGATGGAGGAGGTGTTGGAGTCTTCCTTTTGGCAGATTGAAGATCCCCAGCCAATGAGGATGTAAGAAATCCATCATTATCTTCAGTGGAGGAGAGAATTCTCACAACTGGTTCTCTCTTTTGTGCCGAGGCAGCAGATTTCTGAGAGGAGGGAGGTTTGGATGATTTCTGATGAGGAGTAGGTGAAGCAGATTTGGATTTCTGATGGGGTGAGCTCTGATGAGGTGAAGCTTGCAGAGCGGGGGTTCTCTGATGTTGTGGTGATGGAGGAGGTGATGGTGAGCGGCTTCTGATGGTTGTTATCTGGTTGCAGGGTGAGGATTGTTTTGGTGTGGGGGATTTCTTAGGTGATGGAGTGGGTGTTTTCTGAGTGTGTAGAGGAGAAGGAGTTGTGGTTGGTGTGGTTGGTTTGGGTGAAGGGGATTTTGGTGGAGATGGAGTGGGTTGTAAAGAAGTTAGAGGAATGGGGGATTCAGGTATTACCTCTAGGACTGTCTCTTCGAATGAGGAGTTTCTCCATTCCTTGATTAGATTCATCATTGCCAGAGCTACATTGTTGGCAGTTGATGGTTCACCTTCTACACCTGGGATAGGTCTCATTTTGATCAGGGATTCCTTCCTCTTCTTTTCCAACAGCCATTCTTCAAAGGGTTGAATCTCACTCTCTGATAGAGGTTTGACATGCTCTTCTGATGGTGAAGCAGTCATTTTTTCTTTGCCTTTGAGGTTTCCTTTCTTCTTGTCCAAAATAGAGTGGAGGAACTGAAGGTCGAAGCATAGGGACACATCATCAGTTCCTGCCCACTTGAGAACTTCAACTTCTTCAGATTCAAATTCTGCAGCCTGTGCAAGTATCTGATGCAGAGGTCCCATTCTCCACTTTCTCCATGTCAGCACCCTTTGAAATTGCCTGTCAAGTTCAGCATAGTTGATAAGGTGCTCTTGTGTAGATATGGTGACTTGAAGTTCTGTAGCAGAGAGAGGTTGGATCTCTGATGCAGGTTCCCCCTCATTATCAGAGATAGGGATATCAGATACTTCTTGTGTAATAACCAACTCTGATTCTGGTTCCCCCTGAGGTTCTGATTCCTTGGGGGGAGAGCTGGCCTTCTTCTTCTTCTTCTTTTCTCTGATGGGAGAGTGTGAGCTATCAGAGTCAGTCTGAATGATTGCTTTTCTTCTTCTTCTTTTCTGTCTTAGTTTCTTGATAGGGGCCATATCTGATGCACCCTCTGCTGATGCATCTACTTCTGGTGCAACTTTCTCAGGAGTTGTCACTTGTTCCTTCTGAGTTTTCTTCTTGGGCTTAGTAAGAGCAGGTCTCGACTTAGCAGTCACATTCCTATTCTGCTCAAGTCGTTCTTCCCTCTTCAGCTCAGCAGCAATGGCCACATGTACCTTGGGAGATGCAGTAAGAAATATAGTTTTGGAGTGATCAACAGTAGAGGGGTTTCTGAGCTCTACTTGAGACTTGGAGATGACCTTTGAAAGGAGAAGGCCATGACCCATCTTTGTTGTGAACAAGCCTGTTTTCTTGTCCTTCTTTTCTACTGATTCAGTGAGAGATTTGTACAGTACCTTCCCCCAGTTGATGTTCATCCCATGATGTACTGCATATAGAGCCTTTGCATTGGTGTTGTTCATTTGATCAGTTGAGCTTGTTTTGCACCACAGACATCGATGCATGATGCTCATCAGTTTTTCATAGTCCCTCTTCAGCAGGTTCTTTTTCATGTAGAGCTTATCTACTCCGGAAGCATCTGGGCGGCAGTAAGTGTCTACAAATGTCTCAACAGAGACTTCAACTGACTCTAGGTCAATGAGAGTGGGAGTATCTTCATCTTGTGAGTCGAGTTCGATGTTGAAGAACTCGTTCAGTGCTTCAGCATCAATCTTCAGGTCCTTCCCTTGGACTTGAGAGTGAATGGTGTTGTCAGCGATGTAGGCGTTGAGATAGAACTCAGCCACATCCAGGTTGCTGAAGTGCTCATAAGGATGAGCCACAATCTTGGTCAGCTGCGAGTCATTCATTCCGGCAATGACCGCTTTCATCACTTTTGATTTTTCTGCCAACATCGGCAGAGATGTCATGTCAACTTTCATTCTAGTGGCTATGTTAGCCACAAGTGCCTTGGCTTCTGATTCTGAGAGGTCGGAGATGTTAATGAATTTCATTTTCAGATTTTTGGAAAGATTTGAGAGGTTTGAAGGTTGGAAGTTTAGAGAGATAGAGCTTGAAGGTAAAATTGCAGTAGCGATTTAGGTTTCAGAAAGAGTATATATGAATTTGGGTTAGTGGACGTTTGATATAATTTGCGGTTTCGAGGTCGCATTAAATGGATTGTGGGCGGAAAGCCGTTTTCCAAAAGTGGTAATAACTACCGGGTGTAAAATGGTAACTTCCGGTTTATTGAACAGTCTCGTCCGAAATTTTCAGAAAATTTGCTAAGTCCACAGCCCGTCTGATGAATATTAGCCCTTGTATCAGAGATAGAGATGTTCTGATACGAGGACCTCTGATGAATGCCAAGTCTGATCTTTCCTGCAACTCTGGCTTTTGCGAGTCTGATCTTTGCAATTCTGATTCAAGCTTCTGATGGATAAGAGTCCAGGTACCAGAGATGGGGTGTTCTGATGAATCCACATCTGGTACTTCTGCAACTCTGATTTATGTATCTCTGGGAAGATCATCCATCATTCCCAGTTCTTCTCTTAACTTGTTAAACCTTGCCTCTGAAAGAGGTTTGGTTAGGATATCCGCAAGCTGATCTTCAGTTGGAACATGCTCAATTGAGATGTGCTTCTTCTCCACATGATCTCTGATGAAGTGATGTCTGATCTCAATGTGTTTAGTCCTTGAATGCAGCACAGGATTCTGAGTGATGGCAATAGCACTTGTATTGTCACACAGCAGCTTGATCTCCTTAGCTTGAACTCCATAATCCTTGAGTTGTTGCTTCATCCAGAGTAATTGAGCACAGCAGCTTCCAGCAGCAATGTACTCAGCTCCAGCAGTGCTAGTTGAGATTGAATTCTGCTTCTTGCTAAACCAGGAGACAAGTCTTCCACCTAGCATTTGGCAATGACCAGAAGTGCTCTTCCTGTCCAATCTACAACCTGCAAAATCTGAGTCAGAGTAACCAATTAGTTCAAAGTTACCTCCCTTAGGATACCATAGTCCTGCATTCGGATTTCCTTTGATATATCTGATGATCTTCTTAGCAGCGACTAGATGACTCTCCTTGGGCTTTGATTGGTATCTGGCACAGATTCCTACTGCAAAAGCTATGTCTGGTCTGCTTGCAGTCAGATAGAGGAGAGATCCAATGATTCCTCTATATGTTGTAGCATCAACATCTTTTCCTTCATCATCTGGTCCAATTCCTTGAGATGCATTCATAGGAATTTTGACTGAAGACTTTCCATCAATTCCAAATTTCTTGATAAGATCTCTGGTGTACTTTCCTTGGTTGATAAAGATGCCTTCTGGTACTTGTTTGACTTGTAATCCAAGAAAGTAATTGAGTTCTCCCATCATACTCATTTCAAACTTACTCTGCATAACTTGAGAAAATTTCTTGCATAATTCTGGATTAGTGCTTCCAAATATAATGTCATCAACATAAATTTGTACTAACAGAATATGATTATCAACAGAGATCTGAAATAGAGTTTTGTCAACCTTTCCTTTAGTAAACCCATGGTTCACTAAGAATAGAGACAATGTGTCATACCAAGCTCTGGGAGCTTGCTTAAGACCATAAAGGGCCTTTCTGAGCTTGTAGACACAAGAAGATTGAGTAGGAATGACAAAACCTGGAGGTTGTTCAACATAAACTTCCTCTTCAAGTTCTCCATTCAGGAATGCACTCTTGACATCCATCTGGTAGACTTTGATGTTATTGTAGGCAGCATAGGCTAGGAATATCCTGATTGCTTCCAGTCTGGCAACAGGTGCAAAGGTCTCATCAAAATCTATGCCTTCTTCTTGACAGTATCCCTTTGCTACAAG